CGGCTCAGTGGTGCCATAAGGGCTAGAGCAAAATATGTAAAAATAAGGGATTGCGTAAAAAGAGATTCAAAAATGGTCATATACAGATTCCAGATGAAAGTTATTAATTCTTCGGTTACTTATCGTTTATGCCTTATAATTAATCCGCCTTGATGACTTCTTTCCACCCACTAGCACTGGTGCTGAAGAAGAGACATGGGTAATCGAAGCGGAACATGAGGAGGTTAATGCTTGGCTTTACCAACACCTCCCTACCTATCCACACTTCCCATCTGTTAGTGTCGCATTACGAAGGAGGACGGCGTGTTCTGCACCTATGTCGAATCTGACACATCGTCACACTGTCACCGTTGTCACACTGCAGAATGTCCTGTCTACCAGACCTGAACGGGCTGCTGTGGGCCTCACTGTTGTAGGCTGAAAAGAAAATTGACAAAATCATTTGAGTTGGTGAATAAATTGAACTATCCACTCCTGACCATTTTGATGGCAGTCTTGGACAATTGCAGAATCCTCCTGGGCAGACATTCTGTTCCAGCAGATGTGAGGATACTTGGCTAACTTCATTCACATCTACATAGGCGTAGTAGCCAGCTGGCATGTATGAGACCTTCGTTTACATGGAGTAGGTATGTTCACAAATTCAAATCCACTGATTCGTCTCTAAAGGCGTCTTAGGGCTAAAAATGCAGGGATTGGTTTTGCATTTCTGACAAATTATCTTACGAAAGACATCTGCAATATACACTAGGTTGGCGTCAGAGCATCTTAGTAAGGTAAACCCTAACAATATAAAGAATCCATGGGAATCGACAAATCCATCAGTTTAATCAGAAGGCAATGTCCATTAGACTGAGGAAATCAGTCCAATATCCTCTTCCTCGGTTTGTGGACCGTTTCTATAACACTGACAATACTGTCACTCGACCCTTAACAGTACGGAGGATCCAATGCACACGAATAACCCGCCAACCGAACTGGGGAGAAATGTCCCTCAGACTAAGATATTGAGTGTAATATCCTCGTTACCGACTTGTGGGACGTACCCACGACAGTGACAATGCTGCGATGCTGAAGATGAAGCAGGTCTGCGAAGAGTGTCAGCATTTATCAGCCCATGCATCAATGTGTCGGTGTCACTTTGTCCTTCCCCTCCTCACTCCATTAACAGACCATCACCTGTTTCTACATTCCTAGTTAGGTAATATCTGCACATATTGTTTCGAGACGACTTCAATAGAGACGCTGAAGCTGCTTTTCTGAAGGATAACTCGCTTTTTGCATAATATGTCGTATTCTGCCACATAAACTGTTTATCTTATGGCGAGTTCTGCAGGATCGCAATGAAATTGTTTTTGGTGTCATTGATGTATTTATTTATGACCTCTGCGCACTATTTGCACCCCACTGGTCACAACGATTTTAGTTGGTCTACTTCTACTTTCTTTTGCTCAGGGAGGTGTGCTACTGCTTCGTCTCTCGTCGGTCAAACGAATATGGGGCCAACAACTGAAGTACTTTATGGCCATGAATTACTGCTTTTGGGCACCCATTTTCACGTCATTGACTTTTCCCCATACTTAGTTTTAATTTCAGTGACATTCACCATTTCCCTAAAGGCTTTGCCTTTTCAGCAATTTTTAGCTTATTATAGTGGTTTGCATATGCGGATACTTGGTGTCGTGTTCGATGGATTTTTGCCTTCTTTTGATACGAGGCCTAATTTAGAATACCATGTGATTTTATTTTCGCTACTGAGGTCAAGAATTTAAACTGCAGTTTTCATGGGCACTTTGTGATCCCTTTTGATGGTATGATTGCGTCTTACCATGGTTCCTTTTCTCACTCAACTGCCTTTTGTACAGTTGGTTTATTTCAACGGCAGAGACGAGGACCAGAAACATTAAATTGCCAAGTGATAAATTCGCAGGACTAACTAGAGAGGAGTGGTTAAAGCACACGATCTGCAGCTCCAAACGCATGCTTTTGCAATGAGATGCATCAATTCCAAATACAGCCCATTCTTTACGAATTTGCGTCGGCAAACTATGGAAATGTGGACAAATGTGGTTTCTACTTGAGGAATTCATCAGTAGAATTTCCAGAACATGCACTGCAATTAATTAGGCGTTTTAAAGGCTCCTACATAATTTCGGATTGCAGAACAAAAGGGTCAGCTTTCAAAGGAGTGATTTCGGGTAGTTTCAGTTTCGGGTTATGAAATAACTGCGGCAGTATTTGCCTCGGTAACGTGCTTCGAAAAGAACACCAGTGACTGTAATGTGGCATGTCTGGTGCAAGCATGAAGTAGACCTGATTCGCACCATCACCAATGAAGATAGTGGACATCCACCAGTCAACAAGTTCATCATCTCGGGCTCACTTGAAAGTGCCTCGAAAGTGCCTTATTCCACCCACTTGTCATAGATGCCATTCAGCCATTTCGGCAATGGTTCATGTGCCGTTGTTGCTTAAGTTCAAAAGATACGTGTTCATACGCTTTGGTAAGGAAGAAACATATATTTCCAGCAGCAGTTCAAAGTGCGCAGGGAATCCTTTGTGAGTTTCTTAAATAGCATTGTATGTTTGCCAAGTGTACTATTCTAATTTAACAGAGGGCACTAAAGCACAAAAAGTGAGTGAGTTAAGGATTTAACCAAAAGGAGAAGCTGAGGCAAACATAAATAAATAACCATATAATTACAATGAAAGTGAGAAAAGATAAAGAAGCGTGAAAAGCAAATGTAAAAAGAAAAAAAATAAAATCATGAATGCATAAAGGAGCAATGTGGAATTGAGCGAGAAAAATAAAAGCAAAATGAACTAGGGAGAAGCCAAGAGAAGATGTAAAATTAAAAGATGAAAAAAAATTGCAGGACAGAAAGAGGGAGAGGAGAAAGAACACGAAAAATTGAAAGAGAGCAGTCGAAGAGCAGAAGGGCGATGGAGATGCGAGCTGGGTAAAACAT